CAAGAGAGTGGAATAAAGTCTAAAAATTCACTAAGTCCTCAGTCAGACGCTAAAACTAGCATGACCTTGTTGTGGGGACTTTTCTAAAATATGAAAGTGCGAGAGGAAAAATTTGGTAAGTAAATTCTGCCAGAGGACAACGGCTGATTCCGGTTGTTTTACAGCTGTTTGGCGTTAATATGGAGTAGTCCACGAGAAATCCTCCCTCGTTTCGGGTGAAAATAGAATGAGCTTCAGTTAGTCAAATGGGAAAAAGCATCAGAGTTCGAACACATTCTTGAAGGTCTCAAGTTAGCCGGCCTGCATTGCATACAGAAGCTAAAACATGCACATACACAGACACACTTGAGGATAAGAGAATTGACCTATATCCATCTATATCAAAATATTTTTTTCTTATGAGTAAATATACCATCTAGGATAAAGTCGATCGGTCTTCTTGGCTTAATATAAGTTAATAAGAAGAGAAACTGGGTTTCGATGAATCTCCTTAGATAACATTGTTGGGGAGACTTTCATTTCGTATGAAGAAGAGATTCTTAAGTTAATGTCACCAGAAGAGGACGGATAAACCCCATTGTACTGCAGCTGTTTGGCTTTTATACGACGTTCAGGTTGACGCAGTCCACGAAATTTCCTCCCTCGTTTCGGGTGAAAACAGACTGAGCTTTCGTCCATCATATGAAGGACATCATCAGAGCTGGGTCTCATTCCTGTAAGAGTCTCACGTTAACACTAGGGCAAGAAGATTATCCGGCTCTATCTTATCTCTTATATAGACTTATTTAAGTCAGAAGAAAATTAAAAACCTAGATAGATATAGAGTGGTTTAGTCAATTATCTTTCATACTGGTCCTGCTAGTTTTGCTCGTGTGTGCATATGGGTATGTTTGTGTGTGTTAGCGTCTATGTGCAATACCGGTCTTAACTCAGAGATATCAAAAGGCTAATGTCAGGCTCTGATCATTAGGACCTAATGACCCAAGAGAAAGTCCTGACCGAGACAGTGTAAGTCCTTAAGCAAGTATGGTTGAGATAATGCGATATGAGGTTGTAAGCATGTAAGTCAAGTTACAAAGCCACTTGTCCTAACCTCTTAGTCAAGGGTCATTAATGCTTAACCCCTCAAGGAAAGGTATGACTGGGGCTGCGCAATCTGGTACGTCTGGTTTGGTTGATGAACTTAATCTAACATGTTGGATGAGTGTGAGTGAAGTTAGAACCATCCATAAGCATACCAGTTGAGTCGCCTTCTTTTTGACGGAGGCTCAACAACCTCTTTTTCCTCCAATCTACCAATCAAACATAATAGTTCCTACTCAACTTTCTACCACCGTTCCTTACATTCAACGTATTCCCTAAGCCTCTTTAACCACAGACGTACAATAATCAGCAAACCGACTAGTTCAAGACAATTCTACTTCATGTCCAGTTTCTAAAATGTGCTCGGCCACTCTTGGCCGCTGGATCCAGCTACCTTTACAAGCACTTTTGTGTTCCTCCAATCTTTGTCAAATAGGTCGGCATGTTTTACCAACATAACATCGACCACATGAGCAAACAATCTTGAAGCAGACGGACCTCGATAAGGGTTATATTTCTCTCTAAAAGATGGCATAGCAGAAGAAAGTGTGAGGGTTTATTTGAACACTATTTTCATCCCCTACTTTCTTACTAATTCGCTTATCTTTTTTGAGAGAAGGCATGACGGCAAAATGAGGACATGGGAAAAGGTCTCAGTCTGTCTATCTTTGACTAAATGGTCTTCGCTTACAAATTTATTCCTCAGTAGAGAGATATTATATATTGGTATGAGTAGATATTATATTTCCATTGAATTTTACATAGCCTTGCTTCCCGATTAAGAATACCTTTCGGAAAGCAAGGCCAGGTGAAGTTCAATGGAAACGAAAGGTCTACTTATATCATTATGGGAAAATGCAACTAGACTTTTATTAACTTAACGAAATAGGATGAGTACATCTCATGTAGATGATCTATTGGTTGTCCCTAAGACCTACTTATAAACGAAAAATTCTTAAATTAGTGTCAACTTGAGACTTTTTGCAAGAATGAGTCTCAGCTCTGACGATGCTCACCAAATGACTAACGAAATCTCGGTCTGTTTATGCCCGAAATGAAGGAGGATGACCTGTGTACTGCGTCAACCTGAACGTCGTATTAGAGCAAAACGGTTACAGAAAAACGGGAATCAGCCGTCGGTTTCCAGAGAGATCGACCAACGAATAAATTCATCATGCGCTTTTATACTAAATGAAAGTCTCCACAACAATGCTATCCCAAAAAATTCATCAAAAGCAAACTACCCTTCGTAAACAAAATTAGATCAGACAAATTCGATCATATCTTAAGTTACAGCTACCTTCTAGTTCACCTCCACTTAATTCTCCAGGGGACCTATCCGCGTTTAGAGGTAGAAAGAGCCCTTATGAAAACTAGCGGGAAAACAGGCGCACCCGGCCATGAAATAACTCGACATACGCATTGGCTGTGTCCTTTTGCTGAGAAAAACGCGTGATGAGCAGAGCTGTAGCTCACAGGCGGCCCAATGGTCCCGTGTTGCTCGATCACCAGTGAGTAGATCAAGTGGAGCACCAATAGGTTTTCCAACGGAGAGCCAGGGAGCCTTATTACATGAGCGCTTCCGGTTGGCTGAGTCGCGGAGATGAAGGTGCCGAAAAGCCGTGTGTGGATCTGCGGCCAGGTCCTGTGTGGTCGGAGTGCGAATGCAACAGGAAAATGGGTATGGATAATGAGAAGTGGTCCAAATTCCCAATGAGTCTTTTATAAATAGGTTTCCGATAGCACTGTTATGTGAAATTCAGTTGAAACGTAAGGTCTACTCATAGCATTGTGGAAAAATTCTAATACCAGTCCCCTTATCAGCTTAGAAGAAATAGGGTGAATACACCTCATATATAAATGATGTACTGGAAGTCCCGGAAACCTATTTATAAGGGAAAAATAAGTAATGTTGTCAATCGCTATAGTAAATACAACCTTGTTTCTGCCATTCCCACCATATAATGTGATATGGGAAAATGAATGGCCTTCATTGAAATTCATATCTGCCTTGTGACTTAAGAGGACTCGTGGCAGTGTGGCGTAGTGGTTAACGTGTTAAGATTATATGCTGCACTATAATAGTCCGATTTCTGCTGGAGGTTAGGATGAGACTTAGGGCAGGATTGAAACTGCAGTCCATCCTGGATAATAATAACTTTTGGGAAAGAAAGGCTATATGAAATTCAATAAAAACGTAAGATCTCCTGATATCATTGTGGGAAAATTCAACTTCCAGTCCTCTTATCACCTTAAACTATATAGGGTAAATATACTTTATACATAATTAGTTCTTTCCTAGTGCTTTTCTCTATAGAAAACAGTGATCTCAGAGAGGCATGCACCAATTTTAAATATATCAAACAGAATATGCGGCACCGAATGAGCAGTTCGTATGCTACCTTGCTGAAATATCTTTAATTCTGTGTGAAAGAGTTCGGTGAAGCGATTTGCTGGCCGAGGACTGATGCTCTTGGTCTGCGGTAGTTTGATTTTTCTGATATCTTTGGGTTGCCACAGTCCTTGAGATATCCGCCTCTGGTTTTAAAGAAAACATGCTGATTCTTTATTTACCAGGTCAATTGATAGATATCCTCAAAACTGGAACTTATTCTGATGGCGTCAGCAAGTATACAATGAAGTAGGAAAACTAGCAAATTCATGTCCTGCTGTTAAATAGATATACAAAACAATGAATTTCATGATGTATAGAAAGATTTGGTTGGTTAATCTTTATATTCATTATACATTTACAGTTGTGTCTCCGTGTTGTATATATGTGCGTGTGGAAAGGAAACAAAAGTACTAGTTTTGAATAATCTACATATATATATCCGGAAATTCATATCGTAAGGCATTAATAGCAGTTAGAGATAAGCCAATTATTTGTATTCCTCATCCTAAGCTTTAAGCCCTTGTAGGAATGAATTCCAACTATGATGGTGCCCATCTAGTGGTATGCTATGATAAAACTCAACATGTTTTTACCCAAAGATATCTCGAGGACTAAGGTAGCCTGAGCTTCCGAGCAGAATCAAACTTCTGACGATGAAGAGGAATCTCCACTAACGTTTTTTGATGAGATCGACTTACAAATCGCTTCATCGAACATGTTCACACAAAAAATCTGCTCAACACAAGAACAACTTACATGGCAGGCCTGAAGCTCGATCAAATACTGGGCGAAATGGTTCGTGGAAATCAAATCTAGCGTATTCTGCAATTCCGTCAGTGCTCGGATTCTCAAGGGCGTAGCTAAATTAGAAACTCCTTCCCACGTCGTCTGAGTCAAAAGATGAGAGGGCTTAAAAGGTACTGGTACAACTACAAGAGTCAATTGGTCAAAGTCAGTTGGCAATCTGGCAATCTGGCTACCGTTCGTAGATAATTCGTTTGTAGTAGGTAAGACTACAAAAAGAATGGAAAAATTCATTGCTTGTCGAATGGGTGATGACAAAAGCAATTTTAAAACTAGGATGCATATCTACAGAAAAGGCTAAGGTAAAAGTTATAATTCAAGCAGCCTCTTCTAGCACACCCAAATCAAGAGAGTAAGTTAATGTAATAGACGTTAGGACAAAAAGCACAAGCTTCTGTAAAAAAGGTGAGTATCATTTTTTATAAATATTTGTCCAAAAGCAGAATTTAATAAGTTATTAACTCTTGAACTTTCTGGGAATTATAAGAATAACTACAATATGTTCCCTAACTAAAACGAGCAAGGTAAAAAAAAGAGAAGTTTAGCATATTCCTCAAGAAAAGGCTATGATTTGATACGGCTAGCTAGTCTAATGGTCAGCGAAAAA